GCAGGGTGGGGGGTGGGGAGCAAGACCCTTTTGCACAACTCTAAGTTTCCTTTTTCTTTGCCTTTTTTTTTTCTTTTTTAACTCATTCTAATTTTCTGCATTGTGTTTGGGAAATAAAATGAAAAAAAACTAAGACCAATAGAAACTGGTTTTCAAAAAGGCAAATACACTCCCATCTGTTTCAGATGCTGCTGAGCATTTCAGTAGCAGTGAGATTCTAATAATAAGCTAATTTTTGGAGAAAGGATTAAAAAAAACTTTGTAATATTTATCACTTGCAAGCTATGTTTAATAAAGAAAGGAATGGTTTCTAGACTTGCCTGTCTTGTGCGTTAGTCGTGACATTGCTGGAGCGGGTGCCGCGGGCTGTGCCCTTTGGCGGGCAGGGTCGTGTGGCGTCCTCTCACCCGTGGGCCTCAACTCCCCTCCACTTCCAGCGTGGCCCCCTTTTCACTCGCTGCCGATTTGAGGTGTCGGTAGGGGCTGGGCCTTCCTTCGCTGGTCGCTGGTGGAGGAGCCTACGCCCCCATCCCGTGGGGCTCAAGCGCTCCAGCTGGGGCCCTGCTGGAGCCCTGCGGCTCTAGCTGCATCACCGGGACGCAGCGCCCCCTGTGCCAAAACCTGGCTTTCCTTTCCACCCAGAGCATTAACCAGCTCCTAGCTTTTTTTTTCCTTCTCCACTTTGGTGGTTTTTTATTTCCAGCAAAGCACTCAGAACAGGTCCAACCAGAAGAGATGCCTTTCTTTTCTCCAGGACTTGAGTTCGGGGCTGCGCGCTGCTGGCCCTGCGCCTGCGCAGAAGAGCTGTGTCATGGCGGAGCCCAGCCGTCAGGGATCCAGCGCTGCTCTGCAGAGCGGAGAGGCAGCAGGCCCAGCTGACTGAGGGACCACAGGGTGCTGGGCGCCACAGGCTGGTAGAGGGAGGCGTGGAAAAGGGCCTGGAACAAGAAAGCTTGTTCTACAAGGACTGGGCTACCAAAACCCCGAGTCAAGCTAGCTTCTTGTAAATGCTGTCAAGGGAGGCGGGGGCCCCTGGAAGAGGAGCCAGTGCTGTGGGCCCGGGGAGGGAGGTGGGGATTTGGTTGCTGACTCTCAGGTGTGGGAAAGAAGGGGAAACTCCGCTTCTCCCGCTGTCCGTGTGCCACGGCTTGGGCGAGCTGTGCGGAGGCCCTGCCTCCCGCTTTGGGGACCCTGAAAGCTGTCCGTTTCTGGGTAGGTTCACACTTGCTCCTTGTGGGGTCACGAGGTAGGCAGCTGCATGGGGAACCGCCTGAGCTTGGCTTAGAGCTCCTACTTGGGACGGGGTGAGCACAGACGCCCCATTTCCAGGTGTGGGAGGAGGAACAGACAGCCCCTCTTCTCTCCCAGGGTGGCCAGGCCCTAGGCTCATGACTGCTGCTCCTCGGTCACCTGAGGGAGGGGTATAGTTAGGCCTCACCCAGGGCGGCACACGGCTCCCCGCCTTCCCCAGCACTTGGACCCTCTCACCTGGGTGAAGGGCTCGGCCGGCTGGGGCACTGCCCAGCTTTCTTGGGATGCCCACCTGCAAAGAAGGCTACAAGGCTGCAGGTAGAAAGGCACAGGCCTGTGCTTCATTGCTGTTGGCCCCGCCCTGCCCCACGTTGGGCATGGGACAGGTGGCCCTTCCTCCTGTAGCTGGGTGCCGGGAAACTGGCTCGGTTTGCTCCTGCTACCTCTGTCCTCTGCCCTGGGAGCCTCTCTCTCTGCCCTCTTCCCACTCCCGGTACCCTGCAGCTCTGAGAGAACTGGTTGTCTTGTGTCCGCAGTGTGTGTAAGGGTGATGCACAGCAGCACTGCACACCAGCCCTTACCTACATCTCCAGCCTAGGAAGAGGCAGAAGAGGCAGATGATGAGGGCAGCCAGGCCCATGTGGATGCCCTCCAGTAGCCCAGGCAGGGGGCTGCTCCCACCCTGGCCACAAGAGCCCCCAGCCTGGGCTGTGCAGAGACAATGCCACCTGTCAGAAGACCCAAGTCCGGCCCGCCTTCGCCCCTGGAGACCAGGGGTGGCCAGGGACCAGTCCCTCAGGGACAAAATGGGCAGCGCTGTTTCCGTCCCCAGTGCTGTTGAATGCTGAACACTTGGAGCTTGCGCTCAGAGTGCGGCTGTCTGGCTCTGCGGGGAGCAGGGCAGGGTAAAGGAGCCAGTCTATCTGGAGCAGGAGGTGCAGCGTGTGGCTGGAGATCTCCCTGGGAAAGGGGACCATGCGTGGCCCAAGCAGGCTCAGGAATTGCAGGGACAGTGGCGAGTGCTGGGAGGGAGGGGAAATGGCTCAAGACCTCACCCAGGCCTGTGTGGAGGAAAGAGCTGACACTGCTGGCCCAGAGCAGCGGCCCCTCAGAATGGGCACCTGGCAGCTGTGGCCAAAGAGTTTGAAGCCTTGGAAGGGCCCCGGCAGGGGGCAGCTCCCAGGAGGCCTGCACAGGTGGCATTGAGCTCCTTGGCGGAAGAACCCAGGGAGGCGGGGGCGCAGAGGAAGACAGGTGAACTGGTCAGCAGCACCTGCCCACCTGAGGCACAGGTGAGGTTGCCCAGGGTGGAGGTGAAGACGGAGGCAGAGTCCTGACTGGTACCCTCCTCCGCAGGCGGATCCCGTAGACCACGGGGACTCACGCACAGCCTCTTGACGTTCCAGGCCTTGGCCCTGAGGAGCAGAGGAGCAGGCGAGTTCCCCTCACCAGCCATACCCCAGCCCTGTAGAGTGGGGGCAGAGCGCCTCCTGGTATCTGGCAGGGAACTAGCTGTAGGAGCTGGGGCTGGGCAGAGAAAGGGCCCTCGAGTGCCAGGCTAAGAGCAGTGCAGGGCCCTGGGGCCAGCCCAGAGAACCACAGGACCAGAGTAGGGGTCACTGGGCAGGCGGGGCCAGTCTGGAGGACCACAGTGGCTGAGAGGCTGGAGCCCCACACCCATCGGGCCCTGGAGGGCAGGGGTGCAGAGTGCCACAGGCTCGCAGGCCGCTGGGGGCAGGAGGTGGCTGTGGACCCTGTTACAGCGGGACGGCACTGGCTTGGCTGGAGCCCGGGCTGTTTTATGGCTTCCTCCTCCA